ACTATACAACTCTACCATGCACTAATTATCTACAAACTAGGAAACAAATATTAAGAGGAGTTTGACCAAAAACAAATCCCTTTAAATGTGCCGCCATCCATGCATGATATTTCTCCAAGTCACGCAGTAGCACAAATCAATTTCTCCACAATGGATGCTTGCCATATTTAATAATGTGCAACGTATATTTTCATTAACATAAAGTATCGTGCGATTCTCTCATCTCTTTCTTTTCCCCAATTCTATAGCTCGGAGGTGCTCAACTTTTCCTATCTTGATACGATATCGTATCAATTGGTGCTTTCATTAGTGAACTCGCCAAAAAACCATAAAAAAACAAAAGAAAATTCTTTTTTTTTCTCTTCCTGATAAGATCAATCAATTTGATTTACATCAAGAATTGTGAAAGAGCCGTCCTCTGCATCTTGATTTGAAGTTGGGAAATAGAAGAAAACAGATCAGTGTAGAGGTGCAAAGCGGTGTGATTCATCACAAGAAGGGAGCAAGGCTAAGAATATAAAAATCCTTGGCCGAGACTTCTCTCTGGCGACATGCTGCTACAGTAGCCGTCACCATAGCCATCGACCTTGAGCGCTCATCTGCTGGTGTCTCTCCTCTTTGAGTGTAGATTCTGCTTCCCCATCCTTGGGTGAGCATTTCTACCGGTGCTTTTGTCCTCTCGTGCTCTAGGTTGAGAACGGTGGTCGATTCCACTCTCGCTTACTGTTCACTTTCTTCTCCACTGTTTCTTGGCCACTCCCTCTGATTCCCCCTGCTGCTATGGGTTCCGGCAAAGCCCAAAGTGGTAAGAAGATTAAGAGGAAGGTTCCCAGAAGCCCTAAGAAGAACGGGGCTGAAGAAGATGCTACGAAGGCTTCCAGCTTGGCTACGGACACAGCTATGCAAGCACTTGAGAAAGAGCGGGCCCAGACTTCTTCTTCCTCGTCTGCAACGTCCCCTCCTTTTGTTGAAGTTGTCCCAGAACGCGCTCCTCAGGTGGGGAATACTACTGAGCATAACACCCCCCAGGTGCTTGACAATATGCCTGAACCAGAGAAGGCTGCTGCCAAACCCGTTACCTTTGCTGACCTCTTCAAAGGTAATAGGGACCCTGACCAAGGTATGACTTTGAAGCATTATGATGTTGGTGAAGGCGTTCTCCATATCCCAGATTCTGTCATCAAGCCTGTTGAAGAACTTTGGGGTTTTTGCCTAG